GGGGGGCGCCTGCAGAGCCGGGACGGGGCAGAGCCGGGACGGGGCAGAGCCATCCCAGGGCGGTTACGGACCCGGAGACATCACCCCGCGGTACCCGGAGCCCGGGCGATCTGAGGAGCGCCGCCGAATGAATTGATTTGATAAATGGACATTTATTACACTCACAAATTGGCTGAAACCAATTTCGGTCACATCAACCCCTGATAACTGCGAGGGTATTGATTTGTGTAAAGTAATACAGTGAATTTATCAGTTCAATAGCGAGCTGAAGGGCCTCTCGGAGACGCCGCGCTACCCTTCCGCCGTTACAGATGTACAAAATAAAGTGAGAGCACTGCAACCGCGCTGGAAATGGCTCCGAAGAAGAAGACCCGGGCGTCATCATCAGCCTCCCGGCTTGGACGCTGGGGCTGAACGTCTTAATGACATTTCAGCCAAGCGGTGTGAGCGACCTCCTTTTCTTTCTTTATTTCTGCCACCCCCGCAGTTGCGGGGGCGGGGGGAAGGGGACAGCTTTCCAAGAGGCGCAGCACCCGTTTCTCGGCGCGGCTGTCAACGAAAGAGCGGTCACCGTGGCCGGCAGCTGCTTTCTGGGTGCAAACCCCAAAGTTTGTGTGCTCCTACGGGCTTTCCTAGCTGAGTTTTTCATCCTTCGGACCGGCGCTGAGCACAGAATCACAGAACGGTCAGGGTTGGAAGGGCCCTCTGGAGATCATCTCCTCCAACCCCCCTGCCAGAGCAGGGGCACCTCCAGCAGTGGCACAGGACGGCGTCCAGGCGGGTTTGGGATGGCTCCAGAGGGGGAGACTCCCCCACCTCTCTGGGCAGCCTCTGCCACTGCTCTGCCACCCTCAAAGTAAAGAAGTTCCTCCTCATGTCCTGCCCGGTGCCAGCACGGCGTCCGTGTTCCTCTTGCTGAAGCGGCCAACCTGGAAGGACCTCGTGCAGCCGTGGCCGCCAGCCCTGGGGGTGCGGTGGCCCCTCTTCTGGTGACCACCAGGATTTTTCAGCTTTTCCAAACCTGGAGAGCGCTGAGGCCGGGCTGCCTGCTGGAATATCGCGTCATTGTAGGAAAGCGCCTCATCCCTCTGTTGGTGACACTCCCGACGGTCAACCCCTTCCGACCGGGATCTCGCACTGAGTCACGAGCACTGACTTTATGGGGGTTTTTACGGGGTGGTTTATATCCCTGCCGTGAGCGAGGC